CGACTGCGGGGGGCGCCTCCGAGAGAAGCCGGAGGGGTTGCTGTCAGGCTGCTGGGGGACGCTCGAGTAGGCTCCGGGTTCGCAGCCCAGGGCCCGGCAGAGTCCCTGCAGGGCCCAAGAAGCGGGCTGCTGAAGGACCAGAGACACCTGGGGGGAGCTGCCTGTGGCCCCAAGGAGCTGACCGTGCCGGAGCTTGTTTGTACCTCTCGGAAATTGGCTGGGACCTTGGAGGATCATGTCTGGCACCAGCAGCCCCGAGGCGGTGAAGAAGCTGCTGGAGAATATGCAGAGCGACTTGCGCGCCTTGTCACTGGAGTGCAAGAAGAAATTCCCACCTGTCAAAGAGGTAAGCTTCAGGCGACGTCAGGAGAAGGCACTGTGAGCATGCCTGGTCCTGTTAGACCAAGTGCTTCACCCCAGTTTCTAGTCCTGTCTAATTTTCATTCGGTCATCAGCTTTCCAGATTTGTGAGTCGGTGGATTGTTCCACAAGGGCTTTTTATAGTTTCCACTGGAGAGAGCTGAGGCACTTTGATTTTCTCCCCTCTCCTGTCCTCCCAGTTTAGGAGTGAAGTTCGTGAAGTGAGCCTATTCAGTTAATCCAACTAGGTGTACTGTACACTAGCCTATTCTGGCCTTTTTCTTACTCGAAAGTGGCCAAGCCAAAATTGAAAAACTTGTTTGTTGCTCCCCAAAACGAGTATCCACCCATCGTGTTGAAACGTGTACTCCTCACGTTTGTGGCGTATCACTGAATTGGAAACAGTTTTCCTTCTGGCATATATCATTCAGCTTAACTCTATCAATCCTTTGACGTGTTAAACTATCTAGAGCCACCTAATTTATGAAGAATATTGAAGAGCCACAGAATCATGTTAAACCTTCTTGCTATGAGCAGTGCTGTAGTGGGAAGTTGGGCTTGCAGTCAGAGCGAACACACCTGAATTTAAGTTCTAGCAATAAATCTTAACCTCTTTGAGCTTCAGGGTTTTTTTTTTCCCCCCAGCTGTAAAATAGGGTTAAAGGATGGTTTTATATTATGTATGGGAAAGATGTCAGAGCAAAAGGGTATTATTAAAGAGACCCCAGTAAATAATACACGGAAATTAAATTCTCCAAATAGTTCTTGAGTTGAAATATTTAACATTTGGTTATTATTTGCTTTTTCTCTTAAAATGCCATTTTAATTCTCTAAACAAAACAAAACAAAACAAAAAACACCAAAACCAGCCCTGGCTAATTTTGTATTTTTAGTAGAGACAGGGTTTCTCCATGTTGGTCAGGCTGGTCTCGAACTTCCGACCTCAGGTGATCTGCCCGCCTCGGCTCCCAAAGTGCTGGGATTACAGGCGTGAGCCACCGCGCCTGGCCTATTTTTATTTTTATTCCTATTTAATGTAGTTTGTTTTACCTGCAATTTCATTTACTCTTAGCCCTAAAAATTCACCGAAGGATTTCATATTTACATACTTATTTAAATGTACCTTTATTATTATGAAGATTATGTAATTAGAACTTGACCAATAAATTTCGGATTTTAGGCTTGTAAGGAATATTAACTTTTCTGTAAGTGCATTGGTTTTATCAGTTTTCAACAAACTCTATCTTGTATATCTTTAATAAAGTAGGTATTACCCAGTGATGGAAACCAGAATTGCCACTTTTGGAAAGATGGCGGTTACGATAGGTTTTATTTCACGTGGTCAATAGTCTGTTTTGGTATTTATTTTCATTATTTTTTATATCCTCTGTTGAAAGTTACAACAAGTCAATCTAAAGAATTAGGATGTTTTAGAGAATTTTAAAGAATTAAGTTGTTTTAATTGTAAGAGAAATGCTGTCATTTAGAAAATATCAAACACTATTTTGTAATTTCAACAATAATTTGTAGAGCTGACTTTACAGTTCTAATAATTCATAGAAAAACTGTGGTTCCTGTATAGGCTTTTGTGGTCTAGCTTGGGAATTTAATTGCCATTTATTACATTTGTTTTTGTTTTTGTTTTTGTTTTTGGAAATGGGGTCTTTGTGGCCCAGGCTGGAGTGCACTGGTGCGATCTGCAACCTCGAACTCCCTGGCTCAGGTGATTCTCCCAACTCAGCCCCCCAAGTTGCAGGGACTACAGATGCATACAACCATTACAGGCTAATTTTTCGCTTTTTTTTTTTTTCCTTGCAGAGACAGGGTTTTGGCAGGCTGGTCTCCTGAACTGGGCTCAAGCGATCTGCCCACCTCTGCCTCCCAACGTGCTGGGATTACAGGTGTGAACCACCATGCCCAGCCTGGAGGATCCCTTGAGCCCAGGTGGTCAAGGCCGTGGTGAGTGGTGATCGTGCCACTGTACTCCAGCCTGGGAGACAGAACGAGACCCTGTCTCAAACAAACTCAAAAAATCTCATTAGTTTTTACTTGAACACTGACTAGAGAGATATTTTGTGATTGCACCTAGTCTTTGAGGTAATAGCAAAAGTAATTCTTGTAATTATCTCTGATACATAATTTTGTATATGGTACATGTTTATAAGAATTTGTTGAATGAAAGCTTTTTGATTTCTTACCCAATGACACTGGGCACTACTTTAGGAATTGAAAAATGATCTTGACTGTGTCATAGGTTTAAAACAAAGAGAATGATTAGCCTAATTATGATGATGTTTTAGGACAAAGCTTTGACTTTCAAGAAATAGTTTGGCTGAATTAAATTTTCCCTATTAAATTAATAAGAGTGCCAAATTTTGGCTTTTGTTCTTCAAGAAACTGGTAAGATTTTGGTTTTATTTTTCTCTTTGGGTGCTAACTAAACTTTAAGGCAAAGTATAAGAAGCTAGTTAACAGAGACATTTTATATTTAGTCTTTATTTCAAATTTTTAGTCGTTTCTGCCTTTTATGGCCATAGTGCTCAACTATTATTTTATTTAATTATTTATTTATTGAGACAGGATCTTTTCACCTAGACTGGAAGTGCAGTGGCAGGATCTTAGCTCACTGCAGCCTTTACCTCCTGGGTTCAAGTGATTCTCCCACCTTAACCTCCTGAGAAGCTGGGACTACAGGTGCATGCCACCACATGCAACTGATTTTTGTATTTTTTTGTAGAGAAAGGGTCTCACCATGTTGCCCAGGCTTGTCTCCAGCTCCTGGGATCAGGCAATCTGTCCACCTCCGCCTCCCAAAGTGCTAGGATTATAGGCGTATCCCAGGCTGGCCATGTAATTCTTTTTTAAAATTAATAATAAGCTGGATTTAAAGATTTCAAATCTGTCGGAAAAACCATTAAAAGAGTATTGATAAAGGATAGTGCCTTGTTTACTGATATTTACTTACTGTCTTTGGACTTCTACGTGGTTTTTCCTACGTTACTGTTTTCATTTGTAACTCTATCCTTTGTATATTAAATTGTTGTTGTACTGGCTATGACTTTATTCTGTCATTTTATAATGACCTCTTTCTCTTTTTTCTATTTTTCTTAGTCCTTATACATAAATCTTCATGTTTTAGCAGTATAACTTTTTTTAGTACAACTGTACTAGCTAATTTGTTTGGGAATATTTGTATGAAATTTTTTTCTTTGTTTTAAAAATTACTTTGAAGCCTTCTATAATCACTTCTATGTGATTAATATCCAGTGGCCTTCAGGGGAAGAGACCTCTGAAGCTTTATGTATTTCATGAATAAAAACTTTTTGATTATTTCCTATTTGCAGGTACAGACAAGGGGTATCTAACTGAGCCTGGAAGTTGGAGGAGGGGAGTCATTCCTAGCAGAGGAAATAGCGTGTGTTTTTAGTATTCCATGTAAAATAAATTTACACTGAAGATGATTGGAGTCATTAGAGCTTTTTGAAAAAGGGGAATATGATCAAATTAATATTTAGTAACATTGCCTTGACCATTGGTAGGAAGAATTAGAGGGTATTGAGACTGAAGCAAAGAGAGCAAAGTTTAAAAAATGATGATTCTCTGTTTTGAAGCAGTAGTGGACATAGACAAAAGGTTGCTTGCATTGAGTTAGACAGTAGTGAAAGAGAGGATAGATTGAAAAGGTAAAAATTTCCAAGGCATGGTAACCTTCTATATAATGGGGAGAGAGAAATGTGTGATGCCTCCCAGGTTTCTGGCCTGGGAAACTACGTGGTTCACTAAGAGAATAAATAGGAGGAAATGTTTTGGGGGAAAATGAGTAGTCACTATATATGTATATTTTTTGAGACAAAGTCTCACTCTGTTGCCCAGGCTGGAGTACAGTGGCGCGATCTCGGCTCACTGCAGCCTCCACCTCCCAGGTTCAAGTGATTCTCCTGCCTCAGCCTCCCGAGTACCTGGGATCACAGGTGCGCGCCACCACGCCCGGCTAATTTTTTGTATTTTTAGTAGAGACGGGGTTTCACCATGTTGGCCAGCCTAGTCTCGAACTTGTGACCTCAGGTGATCTGCTCGCCTCAGTCTCCCAAAGTGCTGAGATAACAGGCGTGAGCCACCGCACCTGGCAGAGTGGTCATTATATTAAGTTTAAGATTTATGTGTGACATCCAAGTGGAACTGACCAGTAGGTGTTTGAAAATGATGGTTTGGCACGTAAGAGGGAGGTCTAGAATTTCAAATTTAGGAGTATCAGTTTATAAATAATATTGGAAACCATAGAAGTGGATGAAATGGGCCAGGAAGAGTGTGTGTATAGAGTGAGAATATCAGGGCTGGAAAACGAACTTTGGGAAACAACATTAAAGAAAAAGGCTGCTGGGCAGACTGAGGTTAAAGATACAGGAGAGAAGCGTAAAACTCGTTAGAGGAAGGTCCTTGAGAAAACTGAAGTTTCAGTGGCATAAGTATATGAACAGGATTTCAGTCTGAGAAAGGACACATCATCTTCTGACAGAGGAAGGACAAAGGAAAAACCGGGTTTGAATGTGACAAATTTGACAGAAGGGAGTGACAAGTTGTGGGCAGTTTGGTCTGTGGCCTCTGCTTTCTTGGGAAGATAAGAAACATGCTGCTATAAAGACACATGCACACCTATGTTTATTGTAGCACTATTCACAATAGCAAAGACTTGGAATGAACCCAAATGTCCATCAGTGACAGACTGGATTAAGAAATTGTGGCACATATACACCATGGGATACTATGCAGCCATAAAAAAGGATGAGTTTGTGTCCTTTGTAGGGACACGGATGCAGCTGGAAACCATCATTCTCAGCAAACTATCGCAAGAACAGAAAACCAAACACCACATGTTCTCACTCATAGGGTGGGAACTGAACAATGAGATCACTTGGACTCGGGAAGGGGAACATCACACACCGGGGCCTATCACGGGGAGGGGGGAGGGGGGAGGGATTGCATTGG